CTCAACTACCCTTTGTGGTATCTCCCATCTGGAGGGTCCAATCTATATTCTGTGCAGATGGTTCGGTACACAATCCGAGCAACTTGGTTGTGTCTCTCCGTGTATGCTGTACATCTTGCATCTGGCTACTAGGTGCTGGACTGTCCCAGAGGCCTCTTTGCACATTCTGCACCTTGGGTCTTGCCTGGCGTGGTAGACTCCAGTTTCTATTGATCGGGTGCTGAGTGCCTGCTCCTGTGCTGCTAGTGCCTCAGTGAGGATTAGTGCCTCAGTGCTGTCTTTCAGTCCTCCCTTTTCCAACCACTGGTAGGATTTTGTCAGATGAGCCACATCCACTATCTACCAGTGGTACACCCCATGGAGAGGTTTGTCTTGCCAAGGAACCTCCTCTTTTTCTGCCTCCTCAATCTGTGGAAGTCTCAGGCATTCCCTTAGCAGTTTATCTTTGGGAGCCATCTTCATGATGTATTGTCGATGCTCTGTGTTTCATCCAGGACTGTGGCCTTGACACTCATCAGGCCCCAACCTCAGTGTACAGTTTCAGGGTGCTGGATTTCAGGTGGAATCCTTCATTCATAGTGAGTAGTTTCCTGGTCTTGACATCCATGGTGACCAATTCTTCTCTTGGCCAGGTTATTATTCCAGCTGGGTGTTGATGGCTTGGATTTTGTTCTTGCCATTGAGCAGGAACTTCAGGACCTGTCTGAAACTTTGGAGATACTTGGATGTTGCTATCCTCCTTGCCTCCTCATGGTTGCCATGCATTTGTGGTACACCCAGGTACGTGTAGCTGTTCTCTACATCTTCTATTTGGCTTTCTGGAACTTCAACTCCTTCTGTCATGATCATCTTCCCTCTTTTTGCTATCATCCGCCCTCACTTCTCTAGTCCGAACGACATTCCAATGTCCTTGCTGTATATCCTAGTTAGGTGGATCAGTGAGTCAATGTCTCGCTCATTCTTGGGATACAGCTTGATGTCATTCATGTAGAGTAGGTGGCTGATGGTAGCTCCACTCTTGAACCTGTATCCGTATCCACTCTTCTGGATGATCTTGCTAAGGGGGTTGAGGCCTATGCGGAACAGCATTGTGGAGAGTGCATCACCTTGGTATATGCCACATTTAATGTTCACTGGAGTTATTGCCCTGGAATTGGCTTCTAGAGTTGTTTTCCACTTGCCCATCGAGTTCTTGATGAAGGCTCTTATTGTCTTGCTGACCTTGTAAAGAGCCAAGCATTCCATTAACATTTAGAACATTTGTACTGAGGGCAACTTACCAGTAATTTTCCAAAAATATGATTTATGTTGCCAATAAATATGGGATATTCTGAATAATGTTTATTTTAATTTGTAGGGAAACACCTATATCAAAGCTTCTGTCATAATTCAATTAACATTAGTAAAAACTTAATTTATTAAACAATGCCAACAAACAAACTAAGAAATTGAACAGGGCAAAACTAGATTGACAGTGACGTCACAGAGTTCTGACAGCTAACCTGTTTTAACTTCTTTTTTGATATGTAGAACTCAGTGGTATATCCATAAGGATATTTTATGGCTGAGGCCCTGGATGTAAGTCTGAAAAAATGTGGACCTTTTCAGGAGATTGCAGCATTGAACAAACATACTCACTTTGAGAGGGGTAGTACTTGTCACAGGTGATGACAAAACACCCACTTTCTTGCCCCGCCACCCGTGTCAGTGGGCCGCTCTGATTCAAAAATGCTTGGGATGAATTTATTTCCATGTGAGGCCCTGGTTGAGTGTCATTGTGCAGGTCTGAATGCAGGGGTGTATTTGTGTGGAGTGTCACTGTAAAGGTCTGATTGCAGGGGTGTATTTGTGTGGAGTGTCACTGTAATGGTCTGATTGTAGGGGTGTATTTGTGTGGAGTGTCACTGAAAAGGTCTGATTGCCGGGTGTATCTGTGTGGAGTGTCACTGTAAAGGTCTGATTGTAGGGGTATATTTGTGTGGAGTGTCACTGTAAAGGTCTGATTGCAGAGTGTATTTGTGTGGAGTGTCACTGTAAAGGTCTGATTGCAGGGGTGTATTTGTGTGGAGTGTCACTGTAAAGGTCTGATTGCAGGGGTGTATTTGTGTGGAGTGTCACTGTAAAGGTCTGATTGCAGGGGTGTATTTGTGTGGAGTGTCACTGTAAAGGTCTGATTGCAGGTGTGTATTTGTGTGGAGTGTCACTGTAAAGGTCTGATTGCCGGGTGTATTTGTGTGGAGTGTCACTGTAAAGGTCTGATTGCAGGGTGTATTTGTGTGGAGTGTCACTGTAAAGGTCTGATTGCAGGGGTGTATTTGTGTGGAGTGTCACTGTAAAGGTCTGATTGTAGGGGTATATTTGTGTGGAGTGTCACTGTAAAGGTCTGCTTGCAGGTGTATTTGTGTGGAGTGTCACTGTAAAGGTCTGATTGTAGGGGTATATTTGTGTGGAGTGTCACTGTAAAGGTCTGATTGCAGGGTGTATTTGTGTGGAGTGTCACTGTAAAGGTCTGATTGCAGGGGTGTATTTGTGTGGAGTGTCACTGTAAAGGTCTGACTGCAGGGGTGTATTTGTGTGGAGTGTCACTGTAAAGGTCTGATTGCCGGGTGTATTTGTGTGGAGTGTCACTGTAAAGGTCTTATTGCAGGGGTGTATTTGTGTGGAGTGTCACTGTAAAGGTCTGATTGCAGGGTGTATTTGTGTGGAGTGTCACTGTAAAGGTCTGATTGCAGGGGTGTATTTGTGTGGAGTGTCAATGTAAAGGTCTGATTGCAGGGTGTAGTTGTGTGGAGTGTCACTGTAAAGGTCTGATTGCAGGGTGTATTTGTGTGGAGTGTCACTGTAAAGGTCTGATTGCCGGGTGTATTTGTGTGGAGTGTCACCGTAAAGGTCTGATTGTAGGATGTATTTGTGTGGAGTGTCACTGTAAAGGTCTGATTGCAGGGTGTATTTGTGTGGAGTGTCACTGTAAAGGTCTGATTGCAGGGGTGTATTTGTGTGGAGTGTCACTGTAAAGGTCTGATTGCAGGGTGTATTTGTGTGGAGTGTCACTGTAAAGGTCTGATTGCAGGGGTGTATTTGTGTGGAGTGTCACTGTAAAGGTCTGATTGCAGGGGTGTATTTGTGTGGAGTGTCACTGTAAAGGTCTGATTGCAGGTGTATTTGTGTGGAGTGTCACTGTAAAGGTCTGATTGCAGGGGTGTATTTGTGTGGAGTGTCACTGTAAAGGTCTGATTGCAGGGTGTATTTGTGTGGAGTGTCACTGTAAAGGTCTGATTGCAGGGGTGTATTTGTGTGGAGTGTCAATGTAAAGGTCTGATTGCAGGGTGTAGTTGTGTGGAGTGTCACTGTAAAGGTCTGATTGCAGGGTGTATTTGTGTGGAGTGTCACTGTAAAGGTCTGATTGCCGGGTGTATTTGTGTGGAGTGTCACCGTAAAGGTCTGATTGTAGGATGTATTTGTGTGGAGTGTCACTGTAAAGGTCTGATTGCAGGGTGTATTTGTGTGGAGTGTCACTGTAAAGGTCTGATTGCAGGGGTGTATTTGTGTGGAGTGTCACTGTAAAGGTCTGATTGCAGGGTGTAGTTGTGTGGAGTGTCACTGTAAAGGTCTGATTGCAGGGTGTATTTGTGTGGAGTGTCACTGTAAAGGTCTGATTGCCGGGTGTATTTGTGTGGAGTGTCACTGTAAAGGTCTGATTGCAGGGTGTATTTGTGTGGAGTGTCACTGTAAAGGTCTGATTGCAGGGTGTATTTGTGTGGAGTGCAACTGTAAAGGTCTGATTGCAGGGTGTATTTGTGTGGAGGGTCAGTGTAAAGGTCTGATTGCAGGGTGTATTTGTGTGAAGTGTCACTGTAAAGGTCTGATTGCCGGGTGTATTTGTGTGGAGTGTCACTGTAAAGTTCTGATTGCAGGGTGTATTTGTGTGGAGTGTCACTGTAAAGGTCTGATTGCAGGGTGTATAGCACTATGATATCAGCTGGCAGGGAGGAAATGACAGGGAGGAGGAGGGTGGAGGCAACTGAGGCGCACACAGCAGCATGGAGGCAGAAGACAGGTTAGAGTGAGCGGCTGCATGCTCACTCCCATCAGCCTTATCCAGGACCATAATACTGTGATGGAATTCCAGTAAAATACAAGTTTAGCAGGCCAAGATTGCCACAAGGCATATGTAGGTACATGTGTTTGTAGTATCAGTTAGTTAGTTACACGTAGCTAAGATACTGTCATCACTGTACTGAGCATGTGCAGGAATGCAGGAACTGGAATTACGCGTTCCTCTTCTTTGTTTCAGATGAGCCACGTGGTTAGACCGGATGGATGAGTTTAGACTCTATTCATTGATTAGGTTAAGGGTATGTGTGGGCGTAGCTAATTATGGGAGGAGCTACAGTGCTATATAAGGAATGTACTCTATGTATTCAGTGCTCAGATCTTTGCTGTTTTTGGTGACATAAGTCCCTCTGAGTCCCGGTCGGTGAATCGAATAAAGATCTCTTCCTTCCTGAAGAAACCTGTGTCCATCTCTCTGTGCTTGGCCTCCGTCAGTTTCCCGGTAACAATACCAAGCATGCCACCCTCCTGGACACAAAAGTAAGCTAACAGGAGTGTGGCTGCAAATATATAAAGTATGTGTGTGTTTGTGTGTATGTCAGTGTGTGTATCTGTTAGTGTGTATCTGAATGTGTGTCAGTGTGTGCATCTGTGTGTATCTGAGTACGAGTGTATGTGCCAGCGTGTGTGTATGTATGTCAGTGTGTGTACCTATGTGTATTTGTCAGTATGTGTATATGTGTGTACATGCAAGCATGTATCTGTATTTCAGTGTGTGCATATTTGAGGGTATGTGCCAGTGTGTGTTTCTGAGTGTGTGTGTATCTTTGTGTCAGTATGTATCTGAGTATGTGTATGTGCCAGGGTGTATCTGTATGTCAGTGTGTGTACATAAATGTATGTCTCGGTGTGTGTATCTGTGTGTGTCAGTGTGTATCTGAGTGTGTCTGTATCTGTGTGTCAGTGTGTATTTGAGTGTGTGCCTGTGTTTGTGCCAGTGTGTGTAGCTGAGTGTGTGCTTCAATGTGTGTATCTGTGTGTCAGGGTGTATCTGAATGTGTGTGCATGTGCCAGTGCGTGTATCTGTGTGTCATGATGTTCATACAATTTTGGTTTCTGTGTGTGTATGTGTGTGTGTGAGTGGGGAACGGGGACACAGTAGCTGGTGAAGCAACCTCCCTGAAATGCTTTTTTGCATGTTGGGATGTCTGTAGCGTGGTCGATATAAGTTAGAAATATACCTAACTCCACAGCATCATCAACAATGACAATTCCAGTACACTTAGGCATATGCACAGAAATACTGCACTGAGAAATACCGCACGTGCATTCTAAAAACACACATATTTCATGTAAATAAATAAAAATATATATTTATTTACATGGTATATATGTGCATGAAATTTATCTATCTATCTATCTATCTATCTATCTATCCATCTCTATTGAGAAGCTCAATACTGGCATTTCTGTCCATATTTGTCCTGGGTATTTTTCACTTTAAAAAGTTTTCAACAGTGAATTAGAAAAGTCAAATATCTGTTTTCAATAAATTGTCCTATGTGAGTTGTCAGACACACAGTGATATACACAGCAGCTTCCACAAAGGCAAATGTTAACCAAATAATCCTTTTTATGCCTTCACTCTCCACCTTTCTACAAACATAATTTAATCTAGTCAATATCTGTTAACAGCAAAAATGAGAATTGGATCACATTAGCTAATTTATATCTTCATCACCAGTAAAAATGATATTTTATGAAAGGAAGCCAAGTAAAAACTGTGAAACTTAATCATACTCACGAAAATGTTAGCATAAATATATCAACCTTACGAGTTTTTCATAGATCCTGGTATTAACAATTTATTCTTCTTGTTAATTATCATTGTCATTATCCTAATTTCCTGTTTTTTGGCATGGTAATAGTTAACGTTTTTTTTTTTTTTTAAACTTTATTGGGTGTTGTAATATTTAACAGTTTTCCACCTTAATAATAATAATGTGTTTGATTTTTGTAAGGATGAGAGTTTAGATTCTCTGAATACATGATCTGGAACAGAAACAATGCAATCTTAGGCAGGTTAACTACTTGTGTGATGCCACTATGACAAAGTGCTTCCGGACCCATTGGCTATGCTGATTAAGGATAAAAATTGAAAAATTACATTGCAACTTTTATTATTGCAATCCATGAGCTCCTTGTTTTTGGGGAAAAAATGAAAAATAAAATAAAAAAATAAAAAAGTATTTTCATCAGCTTGGGCAAGCTTTAAAATAGCTCTCCAGTGCGTAAAGGTACGCAAGTGATCAACAGACTTGTTATATGTGAACATCTTTATGTTATCCATTAAAACTTTTCCAACAAAACAATGTGTTCTTGAGCATAATTTGATTGACACTGTAAATGCGATGCATTCATACAAGTGAAGAGTCATTACAACTTCAATCATAATACTGCTGGTTTTTAAAGGGAAACCATCACTTTCTGGAGTTTACAAAATTGAATGAAAAGATTAATATCACCTATGACTCATATTCATGCTTTTTTAGGTAATGCTCTGTTTAGTTTTAAAGCAATATTACAAATGTAGCCGTTGACACCACAATCCAGTTCAGTCTAGGCACATTGGAGGTGGAGAAACGCAATCATTGAGAAAGATTTATCAAAGTGATCTGAAACGTGGTATGCATTCTGTCTTAAACATTCTGTCCAAATGTATTTTAGTCTTCCAATAGTAGTCTTAAAATTATTGGTGAAAGGAATAAATAAAACAATCACAGTTAATTACGTGTGAATTGTACCAAAACAAGGACAAATCAATTTTCATGCCGAAAACACGTCCAATGCAGAAAATAAAACGGTGAAGAAAAAAATAATTGCACCTGATAAAAAACAAAAAACGAAAGAAAAACAGTTGGTCGAGGCGGATACATTCAGAAAACATGCCAGAATTGATAAATCACGTGACTTATTTAGGAATTTGACTGCGTCACGCCAGTGAAAGCTACTCCCCATATTTTTTACCACCCTAACACACACACATATATATATATATATATATATATATATATACACATACATGTACAACTAACCATTTTCCTAATAACATGATCAGTCATACTGACATAGACACACAATCACTTACACAGTCACATACATACATACATACAGAGACACACAATTACATAGATAGACACAGAAACACATACATAGACACACAATCACATACACAGTCGCATACATACATAGACACACACTCAAATACGCAGTCACATACATACATACATAGACACACAATCACATACACATTTTACATAGACACATAGTCACACACAGCCATATGCAATATACATAGAGCACCCTAAGTAAATTCAAGGGAAACTATAGTCACCAGAACAACTACAGCTTATTGTAATTGTTCTGGTGAGTAGAATCATTACCCTCAGGCTTTTTGCTGTAAACAGTGTCTTTTCATAGAAAATGCAGCGTTTACATTACAGCCTAGTGATAACTCCACTGGACACTCCTTAGATGGTTGCTAGAGCTGTGTCCGATCGTGTATCCCCCCCTGCATGCAGACACTGAACTTTCCACATAGAGATGCATTGATTCAATGTATCTCTATGAGGAGATGCTGATTGGCCAGGGCTGTATTTGACTTGTGTTGATGTCAGAAGAAGTTTACATGCAGAGGCAGCAGCTTCAGACTTGAATACAAATACGATTTTATTATATTTAGGGGGGGGGGCTAGATGGTGGTTTTAACATTATAGGGTGAGGAATACATGTTTGTGTTCCTGACCCTATAGTGTTCGTTTAATTTCATAGAGCAAGCATTAGGTCGCTAGGATAGGACCTGTCAAAAATGAGGTACATATGCATTGTGGCAGCTTTATGCAATTTATTATCAATTACTGTAACTAAACCCTCAGTATTTTTGCCTAGATTTTTTGTTTTAAAAAAGCTATTACAATCTGTAAGCTTTGAATTTGCTGTTTAGTGAATGAGTGAGCGCACTAGATCATTTATGTTGTCTGAATTGGCCCCAGCAACACCCAACAACACCCAACAACAAAGTGAACAAAGTAATATACACAAAAGAACCACATTTACTCAAATCTGAATAATCAAATCTAATGCGCACCTCAAATTTTGAAACGTGCAAGCTGAAAATGTTTTTGCTGGCGAATGTAATGCACATTTATACAAGAAGACTATACCATACAACATTGTGTACAATGAAAGCCCTCTTTCAGGAACAAATTGTACCTGTGTGAATTCACCTGTGTGAATTTGCCAGAATGAAATTCGCTGGAAAATTTAGAATGATGTAATGTGCCTTAGAATCTAATGCGCATTCAAATTTTGTAAACTTTATTTTCCAACAATGGTGCGCATTATAGCTCAGTAGATACAGTATATCTGTAATTATAAACACACAGGATGGTGATAACCTTATAATGAAATGTGAAATATAATATAAATAAAATCAAATACAACCTGATAAACAGGATGAAATCTGGTGTGGAAATCTTCATCTCTCCTTTAGATTGTTTTCACACTAAGTTTGTATAATTTTTTTTGTGTTTCATCCTGTTTATCAGGTTGTATTTGATTTTATTATAAGTTTCTCATTTCCTTATGAGGTGACCAATGTCATGTGTGTTTATAATTTTTTCAATATACATTCATGCATATTACTTTGTTCACATCCTTATAATGTATGCATGTTCAGGTGAGTGCAGCCCCCTTGGTTACATATATATATGGTTACATATATAAATAGGGCTCTTGAATGAGGCACCTGTGATAGGGAGGGGTGCAAAATGGGGGAGTTGGCTTGCACTACGGAATAAATATATATATATCACAACATAACTTTGAATTCTATGTGTCTTCTTGCTCAGAAATGCTTTAGACTTGAGAAAGGGAGGTTCTCCCGAAAGCTTGTCATTAAAAGTTTCTGTTAGTCCAATAGAAAAGGTATTACAAGATACATATTTGATCAGTTTTATATATATATATATATACATTTATATATATATGTAAAAAACTGATCAAATTTGTAATAGTTTTCCCATTTTTTGTGGTAAAATTAGGTGCCTCAGCTTATATTCGGATCGGCTTATACTCGAGTATATACGGTACATGGAACTATACCTTATTACGTAGTTGGACACCCACTGTAAATTAAAAATACTCCTGGAATTCAACAGTCCCCCGTCCTGTCAATCAAACAAACGTTCTATTCTACCTTACCAAACCACACAGCGTTGGTGGACAGAAATTATCTTTATATAGATCTGTCTATTTATTTCCACCTTTTTCCTTGATTATTTATACATGTTAGAAAGAGTAAATCACCTTTGACCACCTATACAGTGGTTTTGGAACTATAGTGTCAGGAATACACATTTGTGTTCCTGACACTATAGTGCCACTTTAATAATGAAGTTAGAGGCAAGCTAACCCAAGAGTCTTTGTTCTCCACTGTACATGGGTAACTGTACACTGCACTGTGCTACCACTACATACATAGGCGTGCGCACGGGGTGTGCCGGGTGTGCCTGGGCACACCCTAATACCCGCGGCACGCCTATGTATATTGAGACCGGCAGGGGAGATCTCAGGATCTCCCCTGTCGGCTCATGCAGAGCCGGCGCTATCCGAGCGCCGGCTCTGCTTTCAGCCTCCCTCCCCACTGACCCACATGCAGGGAGGGAGGCAGGAGAGGACCCGGTGGAGCTATTGCCGGCAGCTCCGCCGGGTTCCTCTCGCGAGATATGAGCGTTGCCACGGCAACGCTCAAATCTCGCGAGAGTGAACTCTAGCCCCACAGGGGTTAGAGTTCACTCTCCACTGGACCACCAGGGATGGAAGCAGCAAGGATCCCCTCCTCCACTGGACCACCAGGGAAGGAAGCAGCAGCACGATCCCCCCTCCCTACAAAAGGTAAGAAGGGAGGGGGGATAGCAAATAATGTACCCCCACCTCCACCCCCCACAATCACCCACCCACACACATACAACACACATACAGCACCCACAGACATACACAGCACCTACACACATTCAGCACCCACACACATTCAGCACCCACACATACACACACACACACATACAACACACATCAGCACCCACAGACATACACAGCACCCACACACATTCAGCACCCACAGACATACAGCACCCACACACATTCAGCACCCACAGACATTCAGCACCCACACACATTCAGCACCCACACACATTCAGCACCCACAGACATACACAGC